TCACTTATCCTACCTTTCCTCAAACTTGGCGATGCTGCTTTATTCGTCAAAATAGTAGTTAAGCCTTTCGTCTAGTCAATGAAGTCACCGTCAAAAAGCAGTACACATGCATGGGATTGACACGTTCTGGTTGATGCACACACCTTCAAACGAAGTGTAAGTTGTCATTGCTTGTTTCGCGTATCTACACAAACATATACATCTACACAATCCTTGAATCATACATGGGAGATGTATCCACACCAATTTGTTAAGGTGATGAAGGACTGATAGTTGAATTTTCCCACAATCCCGGCTCGAAAGTACAGCCCACTGCGTCCGAGATGAGAATCCCTTATGGGAAGCAAAGCCATGTGAAATTCAATGCCTTGTTGGAAAATTCAATTATCAGTGCTTCATCACCTAAAATGAAATTGGGCGATTACATTCCATGCGTTAGCACGGACTTGCTTTTAGAGTTATATATGACTTGAATTAACCAAATTACTTTATACCTCGGCTTACAACATATATTCAATATTTAAGCATAAAATGGCAATTTACCTTGACTCGGTAGCTTAAATGTGTTTGCGAGAATGACATGCCAGGTGAAACCCTACCACATTTTTACCGGCATCGCAGACGAATCCTTCGGCAGAGGAATTCGCCGTCGTTTTCTGTTGAGATGGCCCCTCGGATTTCTTCATCGCACACACTCGAATTGGATGTGAGCTCAACAGCAAGTGTAAAGTAGGAGAGTCTTTAAAACCCATATTTCCCTCGCATACATTACGTACATATAAACGACAGACACTAAAATGAAAGATAAAGTTAATTGTGACCAGTAGTTTACATGGTCAGTGTTGTTAGGCGTTCGTCTGCCACACTATCGGTATCCTTGTCGGCTCAGGTTGTCAAGATTACTTTATCAAGTCAACGCTCAGCTTTCTCCTTCATTAACTCGGTTCTGAGATGAAGCATCCTTAATATGAAGCTAGTAGAAACAAGTTCTCCCACAATCCTGTCAGTAGTTCATGTGATTGCATTGAATGTGAATTGGCGAAATGCCTGGTTTTCCTTGAAATGCACATCTGCCCTATGATCCAAGAACACTAGACTGTCCGAATTCTCATGCTGAGACTGGCAAAAGACTTTGCGCTAACCGAAGTTCTACGAATGATGACTCAGGCTGTCGGCTCGGTGGCCTTCTGCCTGCGACTAGCATGGCATCAAACAGGTTGCCTCGTCCATGTGGCAACCAGATTCATGGCCAAGATTCGCGGGATCTCTCACTTCTGGGCGGTGAATGGAGGAGAACATGGCGAACGGCGCCGGAAGCTGTTTTCTCGACGGTCTCTGTTGGAGTCTGGAGGTAGAATGTATCCTGTCCACGGTACACTAAACACCGACACAAACGGACACCCTCTGGCA